AGACAGAAGTACAGTGTTTGCAGCCACAAGATAGGTAGATCTCTGCATTGTTATCTCCAGACCAAGGGCTTATATACCATAGGGGAGGGGTATACATGGTCTAACAAGACAACGAAAGGCAACCTTCCAGAACAGGCAAGAATGCTGTATGCATTCTAGCCTATAATTTGTGTAATAACATCAAGGTTGCTTGGATCTAAAAGCAGGAGTATGTGTCCTTGCACTAGGGCCAGTAAATAAAGTAGGAAGCAGGAGGCATTCATGGGACTGGGGCTAATCAGAAGTCATGGCAGATTCGCATCTAAGATGGAGTGACTTTTGTCTCCATAGTCATGTATGATCTTTAGGTTCTTTTTTTATTTTTTATTTATTTTTTATTCTTTTTGAGTTGGAGTCTCACTCTGTCGCCCAGACTGGATTGCAGTGGCCGCTCCCGGCCACCGCAGCCTTGACCTGCTGGGCTCCGCTGTGGGCTCCGGCAATCCTTCCGCCTCAGCCTTCCAAGTAGCTGGAACTACAGGCGCGCGCTACCACGTCTGGCTAATTTTTTTTGATTTATTGTAGAGACGAGGTCTCACCAAGTTGCCCAGGCGGGTCTCGAACCCGCGGGCTCAGGCAATCCACTCACCTCGGCCTCCCAAGACGCGGGATTACAGGTTCTTTTTCATAAACTGTAATAGCCACTAAAGGCAAGGGTTAGTTATTTTACCTTAAATCTCCCTGCCAAGTTATCATGAAAACAGCTCTCAGAAGGAATTCTGCAGCTCATACAAATATATCCGTAAAACTAGCATTTATTAGCAGGCCATAAAACTGGTTCATATAACCCCTTCTGTAAAATCAATGAAGGTCCAGCTCTCTGTCATTCTGAAGGCGTGAAAGGACATAACATGAATTTAATATACTCAGTGAGCAGCCATTTTAACATTGCCTAAATCTAATGTTTTTCTAGCGGTTCACTTAACTCACCCTCTTATCACTAGTCAAGTACAGAACCTTAACTTACCCTCTTATCACTAGTCAAGTACAGAACCGGTTTCTCAGAGGTAGCTATTGATAATTGTTTTACAACCCCCCTCCTCAGCTTGTTTGTACTAATTAGCTTTTCTATTTCAAGCATTTGCCTCCACCTATAAGACTCAAGTTAACCTAATCAGCTCTTTGTGACATTCTTGACACAGACAGACCCTACCACCAGGGCAGCAGTCATGTGACTAACCCACCCATCTGCCTGTTGACCATCACCTGACGTCAGTACCTGTGCTTACCTACCCCTTTGTGATGACATGGAGCAGACCACCACCCAATCACCTTAATGACCTTCCCCCATCAAAGGGAAGAATTAAAAGGATTAAACCACGAGCAACTAGCCACCATTGCCGGGTCATTGCAGCCATTGTGGCCATTGCCTTGCTAGGCTATGGTGTGGCCATGTGCTCTTTGAGCTATGGCCAGGCCCTGCTTCCTGGCTTTGGTCCCCTCCCCTATCTTGGGGAGGTGAATCGCCTCTTTCTCTCAAATTTATTTTCTAAATAAACTATATTTTCTAATCTAACTTCTATGCAATTCTTTGCATCTTTCTTATGGCATCGGATCGCACGCCAGACACCCACAATCCTGGTGGGTCGAACCTAACATTCTGGAGACCCCACTGAGAGTATGAACTTAACAAAGCTCTTCTCCTTAAAAGGTGACCTTGCAGGAATGGTCTCCTCAAGGAAAAAGCAGTGTTCTAGAGATAGGATTCAGTTAGACTGATGGTTGCATCAGAATACTTTGGGACAGAGGCCCCCTCAAGGACTAAGCCCAGTGCACCATCCCTAAGTGAGAATTAGCAGGTTTCTGAGAGTCTTTGAGCAAGGAATGGGTAGTGTCTAAACGATTTCAGCCCATCTACATATCTTGAATACTATTTTTTTTTTGAGTTGGAGTCTCACTCAGTTGCTCAGGCTAGAGTGGAGTGATGTGTTGCTCATGGCCATCACGGTCTCAACCTGATGGGCACAGGCAATCCTTCTGTCTCAGCCATCCAATTAGCTGGAAATACAGGCATGTACCACCAGGCCCTGCTAATTTTTGGATTTATTGTAGAGATGAGGTCTCGCCAAGTTGCCCAGGCTGATCTTGAACCTGTGGGGTCAGGCAATCCTCTCACCTTGGCCTCTCAAAGTGCAGGGATTATAGGTGTGAGCCACCATGCCCAGCCACTCCCCAGGTAATTTCTAAAGTATCACTGGCATGGAGGTAGTCATGAGAGTGAGGTTGTCAGTCAACATTTTATCAGAAAGTCACATTCCAGAGGTCACTTACTTAGCTATCCACTGGTATGCTGGCAAATATTTAAAACTGGCTGGGAGGTGAGGTTACCACTATAGTGTAAATACTTCTGGTCTGATTTTAAGTTATGAAATTGAAGTCAATGAGCCTAGGAGTCGAGAAAGATGCAGAGTCTGGAACAATTAGTTCAGTATCCCACATGGTCCTCCGTACCTCAATCCACCTCAAGGCTTTGATTAGCATAATAAATGCATTGGTAAAATTCTGGGCTTATTAATTAGCATAATAGGTACTAGAAATAATCTTTTTTTTTTTTTTTTGAGTTGAAGTCTCACTCTGTCACCTGGGCAGGAGTGCAGTGGCATGCTCAATGGCCACCACAGCCTTCACCTGCTGGGCTCAGGTGATCCTTCCACCTCAGCCTTTCAAGTAGCTAGAACCACAGGCATGTACCACTTGGATATCAGGATACACTTAAAGGGTGGGGCTTGGATATCAGGATACACTTAAAGCTCACAAGGTGATTCTGATCTACAGCCAGGGTCACAGTCACACCTGTAAGTCACCCGATGCTACACATTATAACAGTCCTACAAAAAGGTAATGGCAAAACAGGGATTAACACCAGGCCTGCTGACTCCTAGCCCAGTGTTTCTGGAAAAAGGAAGAAAAGTGGAAAATAGCCACTTCTTCTTGGGTCTCAGTGTTTGCAAATGTGGGTCCAGAAAAGTCTGAGTACTTGAGGTCAGGGTCAGGGTTGCAGGCAGGGAGGGATAATTCAGGTGTCTAGAAGCCTGGGAAAGGCTATGCTGGCCCCAAAGATCTCCGGGTTTCTTCTGCAGGGATGGCACACCTCCGCCATCAGGGCGTCTTACAAGGGCTCAGGGGTAGCAGCCTGCTCAGACTCTTGTGTGTCACCAGGGAAAATCTGAAAGATAAGAGCAAGTACAGCTGGTTGGAGAGGTCAGAAAGGAGGAAAAGAAGGGGGAGGCCAGGGCAACTGGAAGGAAACCCTATGGGAGAGGTGTGGGGTAGATGGGGCTATAGTTTAAATACAGAGAGTAGAAGGAGGCTAGGAGGTTAATGAAACTCTTGAAGGACAAGATGCTAAATTAGCCCTCCCAGGGCTACTTGCTTCTAGTGGTGGGGACAGAAACCAACATCTCAAAGAGTAGGTGTGAAGCTAGCTCTGCAGTGCTAGGTGGAGGCTCTAGTCCCCAGAGGAGTAAAAAGTTAGTCTTTCTCCTCAAATGACAGAAAGAACAACTTTTTTTTTTTTTTAGTCAGGATCTCATTCTGGGTGGCCCAGGCTGGAGTGCAGTGGCATGATCATGGCTTACCAAAATCTTGACCTCCTGGGCTCAGCCTCCTGAGTCACTGGGTCTACAGGTGCACACCACGACGCCTGGTTAATATTTTGATTTGTTTGAGATGAGATCTTGCTATGTTGCCCTGGCTGATCTCAAACTCCTGGTCTCAGCCTTCCAGTGTGCTGGGATTACACGTGTGAGCCACCACTCTGGTTCAAGAAAGGGCAACTTTTAGCACTGTGGTAAGATGTCTTCTTGGTGCCTCCAAAGAAGCAAAAAAAAAAAAAAAAAAAAAAAAGTCTTGGACATCAGTTATTTGTTTAAGGGTAACTTGCATCGGTCTCTGGTTCCATTTTTCTGCCCCACACAATATCGGCTCGGGGCTTGCTCCTTTTGTACCAGGAAACTGGCTTCCTTTTTACCTTTCCAGTTAGGGCAGTGTCTCCCTCCCTACCCCCAACCTAGTTTTCTTCCTCCTAGAGCAGAGCTTTTGGGGGTAGGGCCAGGTCTCTGTCTCTGAGGCTGTGTGGGTACGGGTGTCATTCCTGGAATCACCACCAGGGACCCCACCCAGCACTGCTTGAGCTCATGACCTGTGGGCCACGCATTTAATTACTGAAGGCCAGGGATTGCCTGGCTCCCAAGCCCCAGGCTGAGCTGAGCCTGGGAGACAGGAAAACAGCAGTGAGTAAAACTGGGACCTTCTAGCGTGGGAGACAGACTCACAGCCATCTTTGGTCCCAGACTGAGGAAAGGCCTGGCGGGAAGAGGCTAGGTCAGACGCTGGCTGAGTGTGTGCAAGGGAGGGGGCTGCCTACTAGTCCCGGCTTGAGGATGGGTTGGGGGAGGGCTTCCCGGGAGGAGGAGGCCCCTGGGGGCAGGACTGGGATGTCACCAGGCACCAAGGAAGGGGATTTCTGAGATGTTGGCGACTTGGCAGATCTGTTATACAAGAAAACGCCAGCCTCCAGCTCCAAGGGGCCCCTTGCCTCACCCTGGTCTGCTACACCTTCCTAGAGGTGCGCGCTCCGCACCCTTAGGTGGAGCTACTCCGCTTCCTTATTCCATTCACGTCTTGCACACTCATTTGTACTTTTAAACACCTTGGCGGTTAATTCCTGCCCTTTCCCCTCAGTCTTCCCTCTTGACAACGGAAAGCCTGCATTTCTGTGTACCCGGAGGAGGCCTCTGTCCCACGCCCCCTTCACTAGCACAGGCGTTTCCAGAGTCGCACGCGAGCCCCTTAGCAGAACCCTCGTCCCCTCCCTCCCCCGCGTCCTCCCGGGTCCAGGGCCGCAGCCCCGCCCCTGCCCGCCCCTCTTAGAGGCTGGGCCGCTGCTTGGCTCCCATTGGCCGCCGGGGCCGGCTGGCTCCCGGGCGGGGGCCGTGATTGCGGCGCGCCAGTGTCAGTCCCGGAGAGAGCGCGGGTGACGGGGCGGGCAGCCGGGCAGCCGCAGGTGGGGCCTCGAGCGCTGGCAGAGGGACCAGGCCGGGAGCCCGGAGCCCCGAGCCCCCGCAACCCGCGCCGGGAGCGCCCAGGATGCCCCGCGGGGACTCGGAGCAGGTGCGCTACTGCGCGCGCTTCTCTTACCTCTGGCTCAAGTTCTCCCTCATTATCTACTCCACGGTGTTCTGGGTAAGTGACCCCAGGAGGGCCCGGCGACGGGGCTGGGGGCCACACTCCCGCGATGGCCCCTCGCCGGCCCGGGGCTGGGTCCACACTTGGGCCCTCCAGGGCGGGCGGGCGCGGGGAGCGTGCTGGCTCCTCGTCCCACTCTCCCTGCGACCCGGGACCTTCCGGCGGCGTGAGCCCAGCCTGAATTTCAGCCCCCCTGTGGGCAGCGTGAGGGCGGGTTGCCAACCGACTGAGTGCCGCGTGGCTCACCTGTGCGCACCTGATGGGCTGTGTGCCCGCCGCTCGCCAGCGGGCTGGCTGGGTAGGCCGTGGGCACCGCGCTGGCCGCGCCCACCTTGCCTGCCGGGTGGTTCTGAGTTTGCCTCCGCATCAGGCTGTGGGGTCGCCAGGCTTTGGGGTCGGGGTCGGGAGACCTGGGTTCCGGGTCTGATCCCCGCTGCTTACTTGCTGGTGCCCCTGAGCAAGACTTTGCGTCTTGGCTTCCTCTCTGGCGGAAGAAGGATGCGCATGCCTTCAGGGCGGAGTGGAGTCCAGTAGCCACGTCTCTGGGCGTCCCAGGTGCTTGGTTGCTGTTTCCGATGCCACTACGCTTGTCCTCTTCCTCTGCCTTGATGCGGAGCAGGGTGGTAGTGGCTGGACATGAACTAGGTTTTGGATCCTGTCGCCTTCACGCTCTAGCTGAGTGATCTTGGGAAAGTTACTTCAGCCCTCTGGGCCGTAGTTTCCTTATCTGCAAAGGAAGACTAATTATTTTCAACTTTTAGGATGCTCCTGGAGAGTAAACAGAATAGGCCGAGTACAGTGCCCAGGGAAGAACGCAAGAAGCTGTTGGTGGGGTGTCTGAACACCTGTGGTGTAGGCTGTCCCAAGAGGCGGTTTTGAGAAAGGCATGTCAGACTAGGCAGGTGCTAGTCTAGAAATGAGGATATCTTTCCACAGGCCAGCTGCACCCTGACACTTTAGACTAGCACCAAGATGACACAGAGCAGGTTTGCCCAGAGACCCCCATATCCCCTAAACACACACACAATTCCTTGGGGTGTCCTCCTCAGCCTCTCGCTGGGTCTGTACTGCTGTTTCTGGACTTGCCATCAGACTGGCTTTCCCTGGGACCCCTTGGTGGGTGTGGCCTTGCCTGGTAGTCAGGAGATCCTGATTTTAGACCTGCTCAAGTAACCTGGTCTCAGAACTATTCACTGACTTTTCCATCTAGACAACCCAGGCCAGCTTCCAGCCAGATTCTCTGACTCTACGTCATGTGGAAGAGAGACGAGCAGTATGTTTGGGGGCTGGAGAATGGAGCAAGGACCTGTTGGTGGAAGCTCCAGGGAGGCAGAAGGTTTTGTGTGGGATTGGGGTGGGGTAGCTTGAGCATGGTTCTCATGCAAAGCCGCCTCAGAATCAACTGGAGAGTTTCAAAAACACTATAGATTACTGTGCCCTGGCATAGGTGTTTATTTAAACTTACTTAATCTAGGTAATTGTAGTGTGCAGTCAGGGTTGAAAATGTGCTCTAGATGGTCTCATGGGTCCCTTAAGTTCTTAGGATTCTCTGCCTGTCCTTGTCTGGCCTGGTGAGCTCTTCTCTCTGTGGGTGGGAGTTGAAGGAGGAGACCCTAAGGCTGATGGGTGGGGAGATAAGAAGGTGGGGATTACATTTCTGACTTCACCCCTCCCCTTGACCACTAGCCAGTCTCTTAACCTCACCGCACCTCCATTTTCTTATCTGTAAAATGGATCAGGGAGTCCTTGCCCTGTACCTCTTTAAATTGTTTTTGGATCAGTTATATGGGGAGAGAGTGACATGTGAGCAAAAAAGTGTTGTAAAAGGTAAATTAATCTGCGGTTAAATAAAACTGACCGCAGATTCTCAAGGCTTTGTTCTGTCTCTGTCCTCTGCAGCCCCCAGGGAAGCCAACCCTATATAGCCCTTACTTTGCTTCTCTTGGGCAGGGTGGGGCTCAGAACTTGGAATGGATTCCTCTGCTAAATGAGGTTGCCTTACCAAATCCTTGACTCCCATCCCTGGAAGAATTTCTGCTTAAAAATCTCCCCACCCATGCCAAGAACTCATCTACCTGCCAGTTCTGCCAGGGCAGCTCCAGGTGCCAGAGTTTGACTGCAGGGCAGAGGTGCAGTGTGAGTAAGTAATTTGTCCTAGGTGGGATTTGCTGTTAATTAGAAACTATTTTCAGGAAAGCCTGTTTTCTCTGGTGCCATCCCTCCAGAGGAGGAGGGGCAAGGGTTCCTTGCTTTATAAGCCTGGAGTGCTAACACTTGCATCTCAGTCTTTAGGTCTGGAGGCTGCCATGAGTTTTACCACAGCCATGCACCTTCTGTAAGACTTTTTTGCTTTGCAAATTATTGCTAGGAAATGAATGGGTATGGGGCAAAACTTAAAAGTAGGAAAGGGTAATGGCAAGTGACCAGCCTCCCTTTCCACTCCTTTCTCCTGGCCTGCCCTGTTCAGAGGGTACCTATGTTATCAGTTTCCTGTGATTCTTTTCTGGGATATCCTTGGCAGGATTATTTATATATTTTCACATAAGGTAGCACAGTATACACAGAATAGAATATATGGAATATGTGTAGTCCCTTTTTCATTTGGATTTAAATCCGTGCAAGTTATGGAGCTCTGCCAGGAACAGTCAGTCTCATTCTGTTTGATGACTGTGGAGACTTCACTTGAGGTGATGTCAAATTTATTTAAATTAGTCCCCAGCTGGGGAACCCTTAGGTTGTTTCCAGTCTTTTGTTACTGTGAACAGTAATACAGTGAGTATCCGAGCATGTCACTTTGTATATATCTGCATGCAGGGTAATTTCTTTTTTTTTTTTTTGAGTTGGAAACTCACTCTTGTCACCCAGGCTGGAGGGCAGTGACATGCTCACAGTCACCACAACCTTGACCTGCTGGGCTCAGGTGATCCTTCCACCTCAGCCTTCCAAGTAGCTGGAACTACAGACACGCACCACCATGTCCAGCTAATTTTTTTTTTTTTTAATTGTAGAGACGAGGTTGCCAAGTTGCCAAGTTGCCCAGGCTGATCTCGAACCCGCAGGCTTAGGCAATCCTCTCACCTCAGTCTCCCAAAATGCTGGGATTCTAGACATGATCCACCATGCCCGACTGGTAGTTTCTAGAAGTGGAATTGCTAGGTTAAAGTGTATGTGAATGTATGACGTACATGCAGAAATGTTCCTATTGTAGGTATGCACAGATTGATGAGTTTTCACAAAGAGAACACACCTGCATACTTGCCCCACCCCTACTCCCATACACTACTCTTTCCTTACAGGGGTAATCACCACTGGAACACCTAGCAGCACAGGGTAGCTTTGCCTGGTTTTGAATGTGCGTTTTAAATTTGGATGTTGTTAAATTGCCCTATATCAAGATGATACCAATTATGATATTGTTTTACTTAATATATTTCTTTAAGTGGACTTTTAAAACTTATTTTTAAAGGGGCACTTTATATCACAACTACCAATGGGAAACCAAGACCCCTCATCATAAATAGCAGGTAATGGTTAAGGTAAATATAGCACAGGACAAGGAAAACAACATTGTTAAATCCTAGCTAGATGTCACAGGTGCTGAAGGCCATGACTCTGACACCTGCCCTCTCTGTTCGAAAGGTATGTTGGGTCCAGGCATGGTTGCTCACATTTGTAATCCCAGTACTTTGGGAGGCCAAGATGGGAGGATTGCTTGAACCCAGGAGTTTGAGACCAGCCCAGACAACATAGTGAGATCTCATCACTACAAAAAAAAAAAAAAAATTAGCCAGGTGTGGTGGCATATACCTATAGTCTCAGTGACTTGCCTGAGGCCAAGAGATCAAGGCTGCAGTGAGCCATGATTGTGGCACTGTACTCCAGCCTGGGTGACACAGTGAGACCCTGACTCCAAAAAAAAAAAGGGGGGGGGGAGGGAGTTTGAAAGGGCATTGAACAAGGAAAACTCAGTCTGTGAGTCAGTATGGTATGACCCTACCCCATTCACAGTGATCTCCTGCTTCACATGCAGGGGCCCTTTTGTTTTCAGAGGGGCACACTGGGGCCACAAGAAGATGTGTTCCAAGATCACTCATCAGAGCTGGCATGTGCCCTCAGGTTTCCTCATCCTCGTTCTGCTGCTCCTTGCTCCTTCCAGTAAGTCACTGAGATGTCTCCATGAGAAGTGAGCTCACAGGAGGCATTTAGAGCCTCCTCTCCCACCACACAGTGTGAATCATCCTGACACATGCACCCTCAGCCCGTTGGGGACATGCCTCTAATTTTAGCACTGGCCAGAGCACAGGGTATCCTAGAGATCCATTTACATGACTGGTTTTCCTTGCTAGACTGCAGGTTCCTGGAGTTTAGGGGAGCAGTTCATCTCTGTCCTCTGGATGCTCGGTCTGGGGCCTGCACACACTGTGGGTGCTCAGGGGAGGCTGGCTGCATGAAGGTGATCCATCCTGCCTGCATCTACAAGCCTGGGGCAGAGGCCTAGCTAGGAGGATAGCCCTACTAGCCGTGGTCAGGTTTGATGAGATCTTGAATTTGCAAAGTGAGCAGGGCTGAACACACGGAGCCCCTGGCTCTCTACAAAGAACCAAGCCTGTTACCTTGACAATGGAGTAGGGTTTTCAGTTGGATAGGGGTCTCAGGGATGGGGAGTGTTGACTAATCAGGAAGAAAAGGACTTGGTTGGGGGGGAGACAGTGGGGAGGAAGTGGAGGCAGAGGTAATGAATGCCAGAGGCAGTGTGAACTCTTTGTTGCCTTCTCCAAGGATGGACCTGCTTTTCAGAGCTTGGCCTATGCTTACTTATATTTCTCTATAGTTTAATGTTAAGAGTGTGAACTCTCTGTCGGGCTCGGTGGCTCAGCCTGTAATCCCACGCCTTTGGGAGGCTGAGGTGAGTGGATTGCCTGAGCCTGAGGGTTTGAGACCCGCCTGGGCAACTTGGCGAGACCTCATCTCTACAATAAATCAAAAATTAGCTGGGC